GGGGGGGGGTGCGCCGATTGTGGAGAGTTATGGAAAGGCCGGCGAAGCGGGGGACGATGGTGGGCGGGCGGGTGATGGCGCACTTGTGGTTGCTATGCACGATGTCACAATCAATCACAAGCGCCGCGAGATGGCTCTTGCCGCAGCTCCGCACAAAACAGGGCAGCAGACAGAGCTGCAACGCTACAGTAGAATAACATTACGCGTGTTGTGACCATGCGCCCACTCACCCTCGCGTACTGGGGCGGCTTGGCGTAGACCTCCAGCGCCCTGCGGTGGCCGTCGCCATCGCCGGACCCCTCCAGCGCGTGGCCCTGCGGCTGTTGCTGTGGCTGCAGCAGGGGGCCGAGCTCGTCCGAGTCCAGCTGGCACCACGCCTTGACGCTCCTCTGCGCCAGGCGCGTCGGCCCAGGTTGTTTGTAAGGCGGCGACACCGACAGGGAATGTCGTGGGCGGCCACCAAGGTTATGTGTTTGCCGAGTCCCGAGGTTGTGGTTTGGCAGTCACGCAGGTTGCGGTCGACCGCTCGCAAATGCATGCAGAGGTCCTGTTGGTGCACAGGCAGGACAAGCAGCCTTCAAAACGCCCCAAGGCCGTGGCTATTTGGCAATGTTTTGGGTGCGATCGTATCTTGCTGCGGTGCTTTCTGCCAGAACTGCCGGCAGGTGCGCGGCGCACCTTCTTCTTTGCTGGCTTCCAGTGCCGCTGCGAGTGACGCACAGTACGGCAGCCCAGTGAGGCGGCGTTTGAAAGGGTTTCAACATGATTGTGGGGATTTGACATGATTGTGTTTTTCCAGGTCGGAGCACGAATTCTGACTTCATTGGTTGCTGTATTGGCAGCTGCTGCCCGCCAGTGTTGCCGGCCAAGTACTCAGGTGGCCAGCGCGACCATCTGCACGCCCCTCATCCTCACCAACTCAAAGAAGACCGCCCACGCGCCTTCCAGGCGGGAGAGCAGCGTCTGCAGGTGCACCGTCGCGCCCCACCTGCGAGAGGGGTGGGGATCAGGTGGTGGGTCTCCTGGTCTGCTTCCCCGTGCTGGTTGCTGCCCTGCATAAAGGTGAGGTGTTGAAGGCACCCGTGCGCACAACAAAATGGATGCATCCCAGCACAACCTCGCACTGCGCACATTGATGAGTTGATATGGCCTGAATCTTACTCTGAACACACCCTACCCTCAACCACATATAGCACGCCACGCCCCACTTCACACAAGCAAGCCACCCCACCGCACACACGACACGCACAAACACACTGCGGCTGTCCCCACTGCCCACCTCAGCTGCTGCTCTGACACACTGTCAGGCGGGGGCGTCTCCTGGACCGCCTCCACCAGCCGCCCCGCCGCATCACGCACGCTGATGGCCACCGACGCGTCATGCATCGAGTCGGCACCCTTGACGCGCCATGAGTCTGTGCGCACACGCACATGTGCAACCGTGACCGCCGAGCGTTGAGAAACGAACAGCAGCACGGTTCGTCGGAGCTGATGGGCAGCAATACTAAGCACCTGCTACAAATGCTGCTGCTTGTGTTTCTGGTGTCTCCGCTACCAGACTGTGACCTTCCAGTTGCTAGTTGGAGCTGGCCGCAGCCGCACCAACATGCGGTGTTGTGCCGCAGCAAGTTCAGCCCACCCACCTATGAAGACGCTCAGTGTGGCCTCCCCCGGCGCCAGGTCCTCCGGCGGCGGACGCAGCGTGCCGCGCTCAGCGCCTGGCCCGCGCCCAAACGCGTCGGTCCCCAGCATTGCAGATGCCGCGGCCGCGCCGCCGCTGCTGGCCCTCGTCCAGCCGCCGTCGGGCCCCTCGGGCACGCTGGCAGAGTCTGCCTCCTCCGCGCCGCTCGCGCCCAGGCCTGTACGCCGCGGCCACGGGGCCAGCTGCACCCCGGGGGATGGTGTGGCGCCGCCCACCAGGGGCACCAACGTGGGCGGCAGCTGCACTGCAAGCGAATGCGCATGCATGTTGGTTGCGAAGAGGTACGTGAGGTTGGCGCTGCCATAATGTCAATTTGATCAGGCGATGTACCGTTCACAGGTTGAGATGGAATATGTGCCTGTATGTAGTGTTATATGCAAGCGCACGCCAGACGCCTGCCTTCCCTGCCCACTCCGGCAGCAGTCCTTGCGCACCATCAGACACGATGAGCCCAGTCACAAACGCCTTCAGCGACTGCATGCCGGCCAGCCCCACGCTCGCCTTCTGCCCCTGCACCCCGCCTCCTCTGCCGCCGCTGCTGCCGCCGCTGCTGCCGCCGCTGCCCGTCGAGCCCCGCAGCTCCTGTGCTTGCCCAAGTCGCGCAGGCCGCCCAGTAATGTGTGCAGGCGCTTGAGCGAGGAGCGGCTCATCAAGAGGCAGGGGCCAGCAGCAGTTTCCCGCATCATGCACCTGAACAAGCCTGCTCTGCACCAGGACGCACGCGGTGTGCGGTCAGCATTGCCGCCCTCCGGCGCACCTCAAGGCGCAGCTGCAGCACCCGCGCTAAGTGCCCGATGGCGGCGCGCCTCTGGGGTGGCAGCTGCAGCACGTTCTCCTCATGCTCCTGGCACGAGGGCGGCAGTCAGCAGCACATGTGCGCATGTGGCAGCTAGCAGAGTTCCTGTCTGTTTGTGTGCATGGGCTGGGGCGTGCACAAAGGCTGCATCCCAGGTGCTTGAAGCAATGCAGACAGTGTGCGCTTGATTCTCACCACCACATGCCTGCAGATTCAAGCCGCCCAGCTGCTGCTGCGGGCGCTGGCCGCTGCTCACCGCCGCGGCCGCCACCTGCAGCCGGTGGTAGGCCTCTGCCGCTTCCTCCACCTGCCCCCAAGCATCGTACTCCAGAGCCTCAAGAAACTTGTGGTGCCACGTCATCCTTTGCAGCAAGGTGGATGAAGGGCGTACACACGTCGCGTCCCGCGGGGCCATCGCCGCTCGGCCACGCGGACAGCAAGCCCCGCGCTGCAGTTGCAGCGGCTCGAGCCCACTGCGTGCCGGCTGATGTGCCGCAGCTGCCGCACTGCGGCAGGCGAGAGGCTTATGCCGCTCACCGAGTGTCCTCCATGGTGGCAGGTCGAATCCCTGTAGAGAGGCAGCCTCTTGTTGATGCAGCAGTGCGCCTGTCGGGTCAGGAGTCAACTTGGTCAAGGAGGGAACGAGGCCTCCTTCGTTGTAACCTGCTGGGTACATGCAGATGGATCCAAATCAGAACGCTTTCATCACGTTCATGGCGTGCGCTGCTAGTTGTTGCACGCCCGATGTTGCAGTCACCGAGTGCCACCCCCTCGGTTTTATGTAGAGCAGGACCAAGTGGAAGAATGTCTGGTACAAACTCATATTGTTGATGGAGTCCACCCAGTCACGTCCTGCTACGAGCACAAGATCATATCTAGCCAGCTCGGGCCCCCCGCTTCACGGACAATGGCGGAGGCGGGAGAGGATGGGCCTGGGGGTCGCGAGCAGGACAGGTTTTTGCCAGTGGCCAACATCAGCCGAATAATGAAGAAAGTGCTGCCCGCGAACGCCAAGATAGCAAAGGATGCGAAGGAGGCGATTCAGGAATGCACCTCAGAGTTCATCAGCTTCATAACCAGCGAGTGAGCGGGGTGGGCGGGGGCGCGTTGGCGGGCGCGACGGGATAGTGGGCCAAGCAGCACAAGCAGGCAACGCTGGTCTTGTGTCGGTGGGATGGCACTGCATATCACCAATCAGCAAGGTGCATTATACCATCTCTTGCGGCCTCAGGGCGAGCGCCAAGTGCCAGGCAGAGAAGCGCAAGACCATCAACGGCGACGACCTGCTGTGGGCTATGGAGACGCTGCAGGTGCAAATGCAGCCGCTGGGCAGCTCGCAGCCCACCTGGCAACTGCTGCCTGAGGCATGGTGTTCCTAGGGCACGGCATCCTGCATGCAGCCTCTCATGCCAAGCGGAGTGCCCGGCAGGCCCGTGCATCAGCGGCTGGCATCTCCCCACCCTGTCGGCCCTGGCGAGGCCAATAATGTCAAGCCCCGTGCCGGCACCCAGCCGTACTCTTTCCCCCACCTCCTCCCCCCATCAGTTTGAGGACTATGTGGCGCCGCTGCGGCTGTACCTGTCCAAGTACCGGGAAGCAGAGGTACGCAGCGCAGCCGCGCGGGCCGGCAGGGTTGGGCGGGGTCCGTTGGGGCGTTGCTATCTGGCGGGTACCCGACGCGCTGCGTATGTGCGTGTGCACAGCCTCCCGGCAGCGACGGATAGGCTGACATTGTCTTGTTCATCCGCCGCCATTTGACATCCCAGGCCTCTACTCAGAAGCACAAGGAGTGACCCGTACTGATTCGTGTGTGCGTCACCTGGCCGGCGCGGTGCCGCATCCCCTCATCATGACACGCGTTGACGCGCTCTGTACGATTTTGTGACCCAGATTCGTTCAATTTTGGATGCACACCGCCACCCTGGCGGATGTTAGGACATGCTTCTTGCGTGCCTGATCTCTAATCACTAAGCACTGCCGTCGGCTGGGCGGCCGCGCCTGCGTGGCAGATTTCTGATTGTGTCCACCCCTGTTACGGCTGCTCTCATCAAAAGATTGGGAAGCAACAGTCGCTGTAACATGGTACATGTTCACTTGAACATCAGCTGCAACAAGACAAAAACATTGCTCAAGGAATGCCCCAACGATTGCGCCAGTGAGTCGTGCGGCTGGGGCCTGATGGCACAGGGGTCGAGCAAATTAAACCTAGATGGTCAAGCACCCCAGTCCCAGGGCGCAGTCATGTACCAGAGTGTAATCATGTCCCGGGGTGCAGTCATGGCCAGGCCAGCTGGCAGGTGCATGCGTCAGATCCCATCTGTCAGCGCCGCCGCGTGCGCCGTGCGCAGCCGCTCGCACGTAGCCCGCCACCGCTGCAGCCGCAGCTCCACCTCTGCCAGCAGTCCGTCCTTATGGAAGGATGGCGCGGAGGGGCGGCACGTCAAGCAGGGTGCGCGGCAGCTGTAATTTGTCAAGGTCATGGGACTGCCTGCTTCAAGACCTGTGCAACGCAGCGTTGCTCACGGGTGGATGTGACTGGTTGCTCGCGGGCCCCTCGGTCACGCAAAATGCACACGACATGCAGCGGCAGCACGCGCTTATGGGGTCCATGCGCCGTGGCGCCCGGCGTTCACCGCTGCCTGAAGCTCCGACTCCAGGGCAGACACCTCCTGCGCGGGGAGGTAGGCGCGCTCGGGCGTCAGCGCGAGGCCTTTTCAGGGCATCGGGTCCACATGCACCTATTATATCACGCCCTGCAAATCTGCATCACACCATTGGCACTCCCATTTGCGAAGGTCGGTCCCACCTGCTGCAGGCGCCCCTTCAGGGTGGGCGCAGGCGCCGTCGCAAATGCAGCCAGCTTGCGTTGTAGCCCCGCTGTTGCTTGCACCAACTCATCCGCTTTTTCGGCCACTGGTTCAAGTGGGGGCAAGCAAGCATATCTCTTGCGCTGCATGAGGGTCCCAGGCTACTGAGAGCTGTCCGCCTGGCAGCTGCACAAGTAAGCGGCAAGGCGCGCAGTGCTGTAGCGCCAGCGTCGAGTTCGAGCGATGCACACCCTTTGCGGCACACGGCAGACAGATCAGCTACTGACCTTGCTGCTGCGAAAGCTCCTTCTCTGGCGCGCCTGGATGCGGTAATAGGGCCGCAAGAGTCTCGTTGATCTGATCTAGTAGATCTGGCGCGTGCTCCATTGCAGTTGCGTACGGTGAATGAACAAGTATTGTAATCTTCGCCTGTGCCTCCTGAGATGCAGCGCTGAGCCCTTTATTCGCAGAAACTGCCCGCGACCTGAACGGGATGCGCAGAGCCCTACAGAGCTCCAGACTCATCCAAATGATATTGCAGACTTGATGTAGGACCCTTTGACGGTTGAGCAACACGGACAAGGCCCGTTGACCTTCGCGGAACCAATTGGACGAGCGATGGCATCGAGCTCGTCCCTTGCAGAGGTATCAGGCGGCACAAGACGTATTTATTTACGCAGCTTGATGGCTTGCAGGCGTGCTTCATATGCGGCAACCACTCCGATTAACTTGCTGCGCTCGCGCGGCATGCACTTGCTCACTTGCCCAGGCGTGTGACACGCTGCACAAGGCCTGCTTTGATTTTCGCGGCGTGCTGCACCAAGAGCGCCTTGCTTTGATGGCGGCACAGCAGCATCAGGATCGCGTATCACAGCTAGAGTCCGTGTTGTCGGCCCTGAGGTATGCCAGAGCGTCATCTGCAGTGGCAGAAGAGCGGCGGCGGCTGCAGGACACGTGGACGGAGGTGTGAATTCGTACATGACTTTCAGCGGCGCCAACACGAGTGACTGCGTGAAATGCGTGCCACTTGCAATGCTGTAAGCGGTGCCGTCGTCCTGCTGCCTTTGTCTTGCTGCTGACACTGCGCCCCACACCAACATGACAGGCCTTGCTTCAGACGCCGATCCAATCGCCCGTCAGCCCCTTCGGACTGGCGGCCAGCAGCACAACCGCCCAACAGCTCGCGGCCTCCCTGCACGCGGGACGGGCGCTGAGCGCTTGTCAGCGTGCCGCTGATGATGGCTGGGGCGCGCTGTGTGACATTGATCAACAGCAGGTGGGCCGGCTGGCACTGCTGCAACACTTGTAATCCCCAAGGCACTGTCTGCAGTCGTGAGGTGTTGGCTGATGTTCGCCGGTGCCAGTGGTTTGTTTCTCCGCAGCTGCACGTTCATGGGCATAGAGTCCACCTCACTGCCAAGCGTCACGATCCCTGTCGCCAGGTGGCGCGGGAGCTGGTGGCAGCGACGCGCGACGCCGCCGCCTGCCGCCTGCGGGGTCTGCAGCTTCAGGCGGACCGCGAGGCGATGCACACGCGGCGCGCGGGGGCGCGGGGGGCGATGCTGGCGGCTATGTACGACGAGAACCAGCGGCTGGGCAGGCGGCTCCTGCTCGTGGGTGCGGGGCTGCGGCGGGGAGAGCTGCGATAATGAGGATCTGCAGATTGTGCTGACAGAGGCTTGGCTTGACCGCACATGTGTCATGACTTTCTGTTGCATACTGCTCCCCGACACCGTTTTAAGTGTCACATGCAAAAAGTAGGAATGTGAAACGCACATGGCATGCATGTGGCATCTGATGAGAGGTGGCAAGACTGATATGGGACTCAAACAATTACAGGAACTTGAATGGGACCTTGTCGCCTGGGCTCCACTTGATGGGGTCTGCAATTAGTTGGGGTGTTTGTTGGTTGGTGGAGAGGTCAACCAGTGTTTGGTGGGTTCAAGGGTTGATGGGGCTCTCACACGGGACTCCGCAATCAGCCACAAGCAAAGGCACGCTGATGGAAGCGAGTGCAGGTGCCAGAAGCAACAGCACATGCCGAGGAGTGCCCGCCAGGCGTGCGTCCCCGCACCCAGGCATGCGTCCAGGGATGCCATGCTTGCGCCCCAACACCAACACCAGCACCCTCATCAACACCGGGCGAGCACTGCATAGGAAGCTGCTCACCGCCTTTCCAGTCGAGAGCCACGCCTTCATCTCTGCTGTCTGAATCAGCAGGGTCGTCGCCCCCGCTACCTCCCCCGCTGCTGCCTCCCGCCGCGTCCGCCGCGCGGCCGTAGCCAGCCCCGGAATCCGTGCCAGGTGCCCCGCCTTGCCGCTGCTGCAGCGCCCAGAGGGCTTCGTCCTCCAATGAAACCTTGGAGCGGGCAACCAGGTTGAGGGAGAGGGGTTGATCATTCAAGCGTGTGCGCAAGGCAGCAGGCGTGCCTGCGGTTGGCAGGCTGTTTCAAATCCCCAGACGAAGGTCCCCTACTCTCAGCGGCGTGAGGGTGCTTGAGCAGCACCCAGCAGCCAGCGCTGCATGTATAAGAACGCAAGTACGCGTATCTCCATGCCCCGTACACTACCATGCGCCCCCCAACCTTGTCAGCGAACACCAGCTTGCCGCCGCCCCCGTTCCCTCCGCTGCCGTCGCTGCCGCCCCCCCTCGCTGCCGGCGCGCGTGCCGCCGGCGCCGGCGCCGCGCTCGCTGGC